GGTATTTTTCTTTCTCTTTCTGGCTTACTTCACTTAGAATGACATTCTCCAGGAACATCCATGTTGCTGCAAATGGCATTATGTTGTCGGTTTTTGTGGCTGAATAGTATTCCATCGTATAAATATACCACATCTTCTTTATTCAGTCATCTGTTGATGGACATCTAGGCTGCTTCCATGTCTTGGCTATTATAAATAGTGCTGCTATGAACACTGGGGTGCAGGTGTCATTTTGAAGTAGGTTTCCTTTTGGATATATGCCCAGGAGTGGGATTCCTGGGTCATATGGTAAGTCTATTCCTAGTCTTTTGAGGAATCTCCATACTGTTTTCCACAGTGGCTTTCTTGCTTCCCTCTTCCACTCTTAATGATTTAGATGTCTTCTTTTACGATTTTGTGTTTGTTCTTTTTGTAATTCATGGCAGTTATCTCCTTTCCAGTTACGAGTTTCTCATTTTTGTAGCATCCTGCTTCTTTTCTATTTAGAGTAGACCTGTCAGTATTTCTTTTAGCATGGGTTTAGTGTTGCTAAACTTTTTTAGTTTTTGCTTGTCTGTGAAGTTCTGTATCTCTCCTTCTATTCTAAAGGATAGCCTTGCTGGATAGAGTATCCTAGGCTGCATCTTTTTTTCATTCAGGACTTTGAATATATCTTGCCACTCCCTTCTGGCCTGTAGTGTTTGTGTAGAGAAATCAGCTGAGAGCTTTATGGAGGTTCCCTTGTAACTCACTCTTTGTTCTTCTCTTGCTGCCTTTAGGATCATTTCTTTATCCTTGACTCTGGCCATCTTGATTATGATATGTCTTGGTGTGGGTCTGTTTGGGTTCTTCCTGTTTGGGACCCTCTGAGCCTCCTGTACTTGGATATCTGATTCCTTTAGGTTTGGGAAGTTTTCAGTCATGATTTCTTCAAATGCCTTTTCAATCCCCTTTGTTCTCTCTTCCCCTTCTGGAACCCCTATTATGCATAGATTGGCATGCGTTATATTATCCCACAGGTCCCTTATATTGTTTTCATTGTTTTTATTTGTTTTTCTCTCACCTGTTCTGATTGGGTGCTTTCTGTTGTCCTGTTTTCTAGGTCACTTACTCGTTCCTCTGCATTATCTAGCCTGCCTTGTACAGGCTTTAGGTCAGATCTCATCTCAGCAAATGAGTTTACTAATTCTACTTGGTTCTTCTTTATAGCTTCTATTTCATTTTTGACATATTTTATATCTCTAAACACTATTTTTTTTTAGTTCCTTCAGTACTTTGATCACTCCTTTTTTGAAATCTTGATCGATCTAGTAGGCCATCAATGTCTAGTTCCTTGATTGTGCTTTCAGGGGATTTCTCTATCTTTTAATTGGGAGTGGTTCCTCTGCTTCTTGATATTGCTCATATCTCTCTGGCACTGTGGCTTAAAGAGTCTCATCAGTTATCTAGTTCTCCTGGAGACAGTGTGCTCTTAATTTTATTAAGAGGTCTTTGTATCTTTGCCCTGTTTCACGAACTCAGCTTGCTGTTTCCAGAGGCCCTCTGTTGGCACCCTCGTCTGTGCTGCTCCCAGTGGCTGTCAGCTAGCAGATCATGCCCCCTCCTAACACTGGGTCAGGAGCTGAGCTCTTACCTGGTGGGCGGGCGGGTCACTCCCCCTCCCGATGCCGCAGTCCGATGCTGCACTGGGGGGAGGCAGGTGGGCAGATCGTGCCCCCTCCCAGCACCGTGGTCAGGTGCTGTGTTCCTGCCAGGAAGATGGTGGCTGCCCGCCCTCTCCCGGCGCCGGTCGCTCAGCTGCTCTGTGCAGCTGCCCGCTCTGCCTCAAGTCGGCGCTCCGAAGGCGGCCTCGGGGAAGACCGCGGAACGGCCCTGCCCCTACTCTGTGCCAAATCTCAGCTCCTTGTTTGTCCTGGCGGCACAAGTTCTCTGAGGTACTGGGGCAGAAAGATCCTATCTGCCTCGGGCTGTAAACAAGTCTCAGTCCTGCCCAGGAGGTTGTGGAGCCCCCAGGTGTGGATTCAGGTCCCAGCCCCGCCCCCACCCGGGCGCTGCGCACAGGAGGAGATGGCGACTGTGGTTGCGCCCCGCCTCTCTTCTCGCAGATGTGCCAGTAATGGCGCGCAGGTCTGAGGAGATACAGGCTACAGCACCCCACCCCCCAGGGCACACCAGCCGTATTGCTTTGCTTTTTTTCACAACTTTTGGGGGACCGAGGTTGTTCTGCTCTGTATCCCCTCCGAGCCACTGCATGCAGACCCCTGCAGACCCCTGGGGCTGCCTCAGCAGAGCCGCCCCAGTCCTCTGCCCGGCTTGGGCAGCCTGTCCCAGGTGGCCTGTCCCGGGCGGGCTGTCCCGGGTGGCCTGTCCTGGCCTGGGTGTCGCGGGGACCCTTTGTGCCTTTTTAACTAAGTTCTGTCGGTCAAGAGGTGCTCAGGGCAGATTTGAGCCTCGGAGGCTCCCCCTCTGTCCTGCTGGCCTCTCCGTTGGAGAGGGGAGACCCAGCTAACGAGCGCCAGTCCTCCTTTGCCGCTCCCTCCCTGCGGGGTCGGTCCTGTACTGTTTTGCTTTTTCTTCTTTCTTTTTTCCGTTTCTCCTACCAGATTTTTGGCATCTTTGTCTTTCAAAGAGGGTGATGTTCTGTTGGAGTTCTGCAGGTGCTCTGGCTGAGTAGGTCCGTAGATGTGAGTTTTGGTGTATTTGTGGGAGAGGGTGAGCTACAAGCGTCCTTCTACTCTGCCATCTTGTTTCTCTCCCAAAAATGTTTTTAAATAGAAACGATAAATAGAATAGAATAAAAAGAGGCTGGTTTTAAAAAAGAAAATAAAACTGTCTAAGTTCTCTGGTCTTAATGTGACTTTTTGTTTTGTTTTGTTTTATGAGGGGGAGGTAATTAGGTTTATTTATATGTATTGGGAGGAGGTACTGGGGATTGAACCTAGGACCTCGTTCATGCTAAGCATGCACTCTACCACTTGAGCTATACCCTCCCCCCCATGACTTTTTTTTATTTTTCATAATCCTTCTAGCCCTCTTGTTGTTTTCATGTGGTTGCAGTCACCAAGTGCTTTCTTTTTGTGGTAGTATAATATTCTGAACACCATTGTTAATGTGTGTTTTATATTCCTTTGGATGGACATTCCATAATTTACTTGGTCTTCTCCCTAATTATTGGGCAATTTTAGCTCTTCCTGCTTTTGGTTTTTGGAGGTGTCACTGCAGCCAACATCTTGCTGTGTTCTTCTTCTAGTTCCTTTGTATCATTTTCTTAGGATAAACTTCCAGGAGGGTTACCAGGTCAGATTGAGTACTGTGTAGTATTGACCACTATAGTACTTTATCCCTCCTCCCTTGTACAGTGCATAGTTAGGAGCTCAGTGAAAGTCTTTTGAATGAATTACGTTTTGATACATGCATAACCTGCTGTATTGTACTCTCATGTTCACATGGCTAGCCCTGTCCTTTTACCAGGGCTCCAGATTTTAGAGGCATCAGGCTGTTTGTAGGAGGAAATTGTGTGCCCTTCCCTCCAGCATTTGAGAGTATTCATACATCATTGGGGAGTGGGTGGCAGTGACTGGCTGTCAGCCTTGTGCCTACTAGAAAAACAATGATTCTTTGTGCTGTCTCCATACACCAGTTAGAAGCTCCTCCCCCTGGGCCAACTCATTAGCCCCTGCTAGTGGGAACTACTCTCTTTGGGTGAACAGAGCCTCTATTTCCAACATATTCTGACTCTCAGCCTTTGAGGAGCTTCTGACTGGATTCTGGATGGGTCTGGAAGGGACCTCCTGAGAACAAGTGCACTTCAAGGCCAGCTTCCATCCTTAGTAAGAGTTGGGCCTAGTTTAGTTAAGCGGCTGTTTATAGAGCCCCTGATCTGTAGACTGTTGTAGAGACTAAGTAAACCAGTGCCTAATACACCCCCAGGGAGGTCCAGTCAGGAGTTCAGGGACACAGAAGTAGACAAAGACCACTGAATTGGGGATCAGTAAAGGTTTCATGGAGGAGGCGATACCTTAGATGATGAAAAAGAATTTGTTGAACCACTATATATAAAAATAGATTAAAAAACAAATTTCTTCTGTATAGCACAGGGAACTATATTCAATATCTTTTAATAACTTTTAACAAAAAAGAGTATGAAAGTGAATTTATGTATATATATGCATGACTGGGACATTATGCTGTACACCAGAAATTGACACATTGTAACTGACTATATACTTCAATTAAAAAAAAGAATTTGTTGGATTTCAGCAGAGAAGAGGACTTGTTCTGGTAAAAAGATGTGGAAACAGGGAAGTTTGAACATACAGGTGGAGGGTGGAGGGAAAGGATGGGAGTAATTATAGAGAAAGCCTTGCAAGGCAGGGTGAGGACCCAAAGTCTGCTTGTCCACTCTGTTTACAAATTCCGTGTGCCAGAGTACCCCATCCTGACTAGCTCTTGGAGAATCGGAATTAATGAGTCCCTTCCCCAAGATTTCCTATAGTTATGTGCCATGTGTCACACTATCTCAGATGCCAGCTTATTAAGTCACCAAGTCTATCCTCATAGGATCATTTTGCTTCCTTTGGAATGTTTTCAGTTGTGTTGTTTGAGCCACAAATGACAATACGTCTCTTTCCGGTTAGACACCCTTGTTTGGTTTCTTTTTAATCATCAGAGTCCTGTCCCCCAGCTATACCAAGTATGTGAGTCATGGATGTGTTTCGACTCCTGGGATGGCATTTAAATTCTGCTCCCAAGTAGTTGAGGGAGAAGGAATAATAGTACCTGTGGGCAAAGGGCCAAGAGCAGCCCCGCCCCATACTGGGGGTGTGAGCAGATGGTTTAGATGCTGGTGGTGGTCTCAGGACCACTCCAAATAGCCTGGGGAGCTTTCAGGAGGTGCCACGTGCCTGGGTGTTACTTGTTTATGGTTGGAAGACAAATGTGTGATTCATCTGCCAGGGGTATGAGGGAGTAAAGCCAGCCTTCCTAACCCCTCCTAACCTTGGTCTCGTTCTCTCTGGCAGGCAGAGGTGGAGGAGACCTTGAAGCGACTTCAGAGCCAGAAGGGCGTGCAGGGAATCATTGTGGTGAACACAGAAGGTACAGCCTCCTTCCAGCCATGTGCATGAAAATTAGTACAGATACTAATTTTCTCAAACTGCAGTAGACATAGCGATGGAGGGACTAACCTTTATCATACACTTACTCTGTGCCAGGCCACAGGCTGGGATTTTACAAACATATTATTTCACTTATTCCTTAAAGCAGCTCTGTTGCCTCCATTTTGTAGTGGAGAAAACTGAGTCTAGAAATTTAATTACAGAGCCAAGATTTCATTCCAGGTCTGCCTCAGTGCACTTGTGCTCTTTCTCCCACACTGTGCTGTGAAGGACCAGAGAGTGTCTGCTAGACTATGGCCCAGCTGGACTCCCACAGTTCTCTAGCCCAGTGCATTCAGTCAGCTCTGGATTGCTCCTTGGTAGGCTCTGTGTGTATGTGTCATTCTAGGCCTTGTTTTGGAGGGGCAGAATTCTCAACAGTGCCTACGTAAATAGAGCGGAATGAAAGTCACCAATGGTGACAAATTAGAGGTGGCATGTCCTCAGTTAAAATGTTGTTTTCCAAGTCGTCACACCCTGGCCAGCCCAGAGCGAGGCAGAGGTGCTCCCCAGCTTTGTCAGACTCTAATTAAACCATGGGGTCATTGCATTCAAAGGAGGCAGCAGGTTGGGGAGCCCAGAGGACACCATGGGAAGCAACTCAGGTCGCCACTGAGCAGCTAGGTGGCCTGGGGCTTCCCCTTCCCCTCTTCAGACCTCAGCTACTTCAGATGGAGTGGTTGGTCCAGGTAATCTCCTTGGGTCCTTCTTGCTCCCAGACCCCGAAGACTGTATGTCACCCACAGAGACTCTCTTCTGGAGCTGGACATCCCCCCCCCAAGTGGGGAGGGAACAGCCTCAGAGGTTGGGCTGTCCAGCTGGGAACCCTAGGCTTCCACCAGTATTCACAAACCATAAGCCTTCATCCTTGCTTAAAACTGCCTGAAAAGTTGAGCTTTTCCACTGGGGAAATACAATCCCAGCTGCTTTGGGGTACTAATGAGCACTTCTTTTTTGTATACTAATATGGTAGTATTGCAGAGTGGCTGGAACCAGAATGCCTGTGTTTGTATTCTTACTCTACTTACTTATCAACTGTCTGATCTTGGTCAAGTCACTTAACCTCTTTGTTCCAGTTTCCTCATCTGTAGAATGTGGACAGTCATACTTTTCCTCTAAGGGCAGCTTTTAGAACAGTGCCTAATGAATAGTAAATGCTATATGAATGTTAAAATTATTGTGTGTGTGTGTTTATTTTTATTGTGTCCCATTCACAGAGCTCCTGCTTCAGTCTTTCATTTACATTTCACGCAGTGGCCCTGCAAAGCAGGGATGTTTGCCTGTTTTTCAGGTGAGAAAATGGAAGCTGAGAGAAGTGAGGTGATCTGCCCCAGATCACCCAGCCATACCTGGAGGTAGTCAGAACTCACTGCTCTATGGGGCCTTTAAGCCCTTTGGAAGCTTCCATTAAAAAGATGATCAGTTAAAATGATTGTATTAGGGATTTCTGTTACCGCTTTAGGGCTTTCCTATCCCCATGATTCAGCTCAGTTGCCTCTGCAGGATGTCTTCCCTGAGCATCCCTGCCCAGGGTGATTACTTCCCGCCTCTGAAACCATGACACACTCTTGTCCCAGTCACTTACCAACGACGTGCCACTGCCTCTTGACACCTCTGCCTTGGCCAGATTTAAATGATGTTTCATAATAAAAGTATGAGTTAAAGCAAACTTAGGAAGAACTTAAGGAACATTCTGTTCTATTTGTCCTTCTCCAGACCCCCTGCTATCTTCTGCTGCTGCCCACACAGGGCAAAATAAAAGATTCAAATGTGTAAACTCCTTGAGAGCAGGGATTTGCCTCTTGTGTTCACTGCTGCATCCCCAGACCCTAGAACAATGCTGGCAGAAAGTTGGTACTTAATGAATATCTGTTAGATTTTGTTAATATTTTTAAATTGTTGATTAATAGAGGTGGGTTTGGTGGGAGGACCTGGCTATACAACCTGGCAGATCTCAGCCCTGGGTTAGAAATCATGCCTTGGAGGTGACCAGCCACTTCTGCGGGCTTTACGGTCCCTATTTGTACTGGCAGAGGCTTGGAGCAGGCTACCTAATCATTAGGCTGTCTTTGAGGTGTTCCCCAGCCCAGGCATCCTGTGAATCTGGAATTGATCTCTCATCCTTGTTTGAAATAATTTCCAGTTTTAGTCCATCCCCTCCATCCCCATCCTGCCATCTCTGTGTTTTCTTTTGTTTTTAAAGTGAGCCAACAAGAGGTTTGTTTCTTGTCGCCTTTACATACCCTATCTTGATAGAAATGTGATCAAACTCATGACAGTATTTGTCTGAACTGCTGAAAGTAGATCTGTGTCTCCTCATTTATCAACAGCCATAAATGCTTAATGCAGTCTCTCTAAAGACACTAATGAGCAAATCAGACCTGGTTCTGGACCTCAGGGAGCTTATAATCTGTGGAGGGAAACATAATGATCACTTCCATAAAGGTGTAATATCAAACTTGAGAAACAGCTCTGAAAGAAAATTGCATGGTACTGGGACTGTATTGGGGCACTGAGCACATCTGGGGGTGGATGGAGACCTGAGGGACAGTGGGAGTCATGAGAGAATAAGGGAAGGAAAGTTCCAGGCAGAGGGACCTGAGAGAAGGTAGCCTTGTGGGATGTAGAAAGAAAAGGTCAAGAGGTTTGATGACCCAAACTTAGCCAGGCCTTGAGACTGGCCCCTCAAATTATGTGGGCAATGGGATTTATTGTGTGGGTGTTAATAAGTCAACATTTATTACATGCATACTCTTGCTAAACATTCTCAAATGAATTAAGACATACTTAGTCTTCACAGCAGCACTTCGAAGCACAGACATTATTTTACAGATGAGGAAATGAAGGCTTAGAGAGGTTAAATCCCTTGTCTGAGGCCACATAGCCACGAAGGGACAGAGCCAGGGTGTAAGCTCAGGTCATCAGATTTCAGAGTTCCCACTCAGTCATCTCCCCGGCTGCTCATACTGCCATCCTCAGGAAGGCCAACTATCGAATGAGGCCTCTTGGGGCCCTGGTGGGCACATTGTTGCCATCCGGGACCCAAGAGCAGCCCTGGTGACCTGGTCATCTTGTCCCTTAAAGGCAGGTGATCACTACAACCTGTTCTCATAACTTCACTTGGCGCAGAACAGCCTTTCTGACTCAGCTGCTTCTCTTGCTACCATGCCCTCTTCTGCCCATTCTTGTGCTCCTGTGCCCTCAGAAGACAATGTCGGATCAGTTTCTGGCCACCCATGGGTGGGCCTGAGGGTGACTGACTGGCTGATCCCATGGCTGGTCAGTTGTGGGCCAGGTTAGTAGGGTCCTGGACCCCAATCCAGCCACTTCTGTTTGGGTAGCCCCTTGGGCCACAATTGTCACAAGTGCCTGTCAGCTGTGGGCACTCAGGGCCTCATCGATGGAGCCTTCTGCTGACATGTTACGGTGATTCATAGGCACCTGATGATCCAGTCGTGGCCTGCGGTGGCTCAAGCAGAGCCCCATTCCTCACCTCCATGACAACAGGCCCTGTCCAGTGAGGGAGGTCCATTTAATAGTTCGTCACAAGGAAGCAGTTCTCAAAACTGAGAAGCCTTGATGCAGGATGTTCACTGCACGGTAATTAAGTTAAAATATCCAGCCAAAGTATTCCGCCATGGGGGAACAATTAACTCTGTGGAGTGGCCACTTGTGGGCTCATTGAGAGCAGTAGCAACACTGTTTGCGAGGGTGTGTGCAGACAGAGAAACAGGCTTTAAATTGGGGAGCGTGGTCACGTGTATAGACAGTGTGTTCATAACTGGGCTGTAAGCCTCCCTAGGTGGGAACTGGAGCAAAACACTAATGGCGGTTCTGTCCTGACACAGGCTGCCCTTTCTTCTTCTGTCTACTTAAGTATTTACAGATTTGTAAGCACTGTCTTCCTTGTTCAGGTTCTAAATGTTATGAATGACAGTCTCTCCTTATATTGCTGGAAATTCAGTGCAGCCCTGTGAAAGGAGCCCGGCAGTGGAGCCAGCAGGCCCACATTTGAATCCTGGCCCCGCTGCTTATCTTTATCTGCTGTGTGACTGTAAGCAGGTCCCCTCACTGTGCAGTTTCTGCTACCTCATAGGCAAGTAAAGATGGTGACACCACCCTTAGAGTAGTTCTGGGGCTGGTACCAACAAGCGTGGAGTCCTCATCACTTGTCTGTCAGGCCTTCAGTAGATAGTGGCATTTACCGTTAACTGCTGGTCTAGGCTCTAGAATTGTAAGTGTGGGGCTGGGAGCTGGGCAGAAAGGGGCTCTGACGTTCTGCTCAGTCTCTGTGTGCTCTGTCCTCAGGCATTCCCATCAAGAGCACCATGGACAACCCCACCACCACACAGTACGCCAACCTCATGCACAACTTCATCTTGAAGGCCCGGAGCACAGTGCGGGAAATTGACCCCCAGAATGACCTTACCTTCCTTCGAATTCGCTCCAAGAAAAATGAAATTATGGTTGCTCCAGGTAAGGGGTCTTCCACATCCCCAATGAGGAGCAGACCCTCGCAGCGCATGCTCTGAAGCTTATCAGGAAGGCTTAGCACCTGGGTGTCTCTGCCGGGTCCACAGAAAGGCCTGAAAAGTAGAAGGTACAGGTTGGACTGCTACGCGCTGCCTGGGCTGTCTCCGGCTGGCATCCCCAACAATGTTCGTTCACAGTGACTCTAGGCCAGGTTCTGTCCTGGGTTCTAGGCCATGGAGGGGAATTACAGTCTCATGGGGGAGAGACATATATAGGCATATCACAGTGGAACCCTCACCTTGATGCGGGGAGACTCAAGGAACACTGAGGAACATAGAGGAGGGTGTGGCTGGCCGGCTGTGGCAGCCAGCAAAGACTTCCCTGGCGAGGAAACATTTGAGCTGTCCTGAGGGCACAGCTAAAGTGCGTAAGCAAGGTGGGTTGGGGGTTGGGGGCGGGAAAGCTATGCTTGAAGTAAAAAGAATTCAGAGATTCAAAACCAAACTGTAAGGCAAAAAACACTGTGCACCCATTTTATCCTAGAAAAAATACTAGTTTGCCCACTTGAGACATACAGTCCTGCCTCTGAGCCCCATGTGTCCAGCTCTTCCCCCAGCCCTGGAACAAATTGCTGCTTCTGTTTCACAGGAAGTGCTTGGCTTACACTTCCGGGCTGTGTGATGCAGACAATACTTGTCTTTAGATCTGAGGCTCGTTCTCAGGATGATGAGATCCTTATTTTGGGAGGAGCCCACAAGGACTGGGACCACAAGACGGGACAGCAGGACTACCTGCCCTGCCCTGCCTCACCTCACCCACATTCACAGCCTGGCGCGGTAGACAGATCCTCCAGGACTATTTTTGCTCTCTCCTCCACTCTCCTTTGTGGCTGAGCCACATGGTTGAGTGTGCGTGAGTTAAGTGTGCACATGGTGATGGGGGTGGCTGCACTGCCACCTCGTCTGGGGCATCAGAAATGTATAGGATGGAGTGGGAGGTGATTTGTTTGGTCCAGTTCGGAATGGGCCTCAAATGCCAAACTCAGCTGCATGGACTTGACCCTCTGAACAGAGGTTTTTAAGGCTGGAGGTGATAGGATTGTGATTGGGGTCCTGGATGAAGGAGGGCAGTGGGGAGGCTGGGACACTGAATGCCCCCGGACTTGGCAACACAGATGGCGAGGAGGCTGGCTCAGAATTGCAAGCTTACTTAATGGGGGTCAGCCTCTCCCAGCAGCAGAGCAGTTCTGTTCCCAGGCCTGTTCGGGCCCAGGTGAGCTGCTTGGAAGGATATGAAGGAGAGAACCATAGAGCCAATCACAGGGGCCCACAGTCTCCTTGGGACCCTCCCTAGAGGGGTGGGGACAGACAGGTCAGTCACAAAGGAGGACACAGGATAACTTCAGGATTATTCTGAAAACAAATGTACACTGTTATATCAATTTAATCACTGTTGATGCATCTCATGCCAACCAGTGATGACATCTGTGACTCTGTCAGGGAGAACAGACTGCAGCAGGCACAGCGTCTGCTCTCCCGGCTTCACCTTTTACGAGTTTGACCTCGAGCACATCACAGAACTCCTCCGGGCCTCTCTTCCCGCACGTGTAAGGGGTCTAGGAGGGGACTGAGCTGCTCTGGTACTCTGAGATGCCCCATCTGGTTGAGCTTGTTGGCACAAGGTGGGCCAGAAAAGCTTGGAATCAAATTTGAACTCAGATCCCTCCCAGGACTTCATGCTGTGTGATTACGGACAAACCTTCAGTCCCCTGAACGTTAAGCTACTGACCCTCCGAATCAGAGCAGACCTGTGCCCTCCTGGGAGCTCACAGGAGAGCAAGGACAAACTATGCAGCTTCCGTATCACACAGACTCTCCATGGACAGCATCTCTTGGCTTAAAGCTTCCAAGAGTGTGCTCTGGAACGGCTGAGTTAACACAGTGCAATCAAGCTTTAACACACTGCTTCCCACAGAGCACTAGGAGTGCTGTTAGTGAATATAGAGCTTGATTATTCTGAAGAAAAGACATTGGTATTGCTAATTATATCTTTTTATCACTTCTACTTGTTACTTATTTCTATGTTTATTACAGTAAGTGATTTTTTACTTATGCAGATTGCTTAGCCATGAAACTTAGTCATGTAATATCTGCTTCTTCCCAGATGCCCGTCATGGGAAGCAGCAGGCTTTAGGCTTGAATCAGAACAGACACAAAGTAGACATGGCCAGGGTCCTGCTACTTCTCTCCTAGTCAGCAGAGGGCAGACCAGAGTCATCGAGCATCAAACCCAGCTACCCCACCTGGCAAATCTGCCTTGGCTTGGGCAGGTCATTTACCTCTGGGAGCCTTAGTGTTCTCATTAGTAAAGTGAGAGAGCACTACCTTATAGAGTGATTCGAGGATTCATTGAGGTGCTGATTAATGAGAAATGATTGGCCCCGGGCCTGCTTGTGGAAGCCTTGGCAAATGTTTGCAGTTTGATTATTCAGTGGGCAAGGTGGAAACACTCTGCTTCTCCAGTTTTGTCTCCTATAAATGAGGGGCAATCAGGCTCACCCCTGAGGACTTGGACTTGCTATGATTTCATGATAGATTTTCCTTCTGACTGGGCTGGATTCCCAGAAGTGGAATTCAGGTAGCTTTGGCCCCCTTTGACCTGGTGCCTTTGAAATTTTCTAGTCCAGAAGGCTCTGGAAGGCCAGCAGCTGAACTTGCAACAGAACTAACATTAACCCAAGACCAGTGGGGTTGAGGTTAGGATTCCGTCTTTGACACTAACTAGCTGGGTAACCTTAAACTAGTGGTTCTTCCAGAACCTGCTGCATCAGCATCACCTGGGAACTTGTTAAAAATGCAAATTCTAGGGCTCCGCCGCAGACCCACAGAATCCGAAGCCCTGAGGTGGGACCAGCAGTATTGTTTTAAACATCCCTCACAGGGAGGGTATAGCTCAGTGGTAGAGCATGTGCTTTGCATGCACAAGGTTCAATCCGCAGGTCCTCCATTAAAAATAAATAAATAGACCTCATTACCCCTCACCAAATAAACAGCCCTCCAAGTGACTCGGATGCCCTCTAGTTTGAGAACTATTAACGTATTAACGTAGGCACTTCATTTAAACTCTGAACCTGAGTTTCCCCACCCAAAAAAACAATAATCCTACCTCCTTGTCGGTACTGGGAAGATTAGAAAAGAGGGTGCCCTGCATAGCGCCATTGCCAGGTAGTGTGAGGGCCCTGCTTCCCAGCAGCCACACATGCAGAAGCCCCATAGCAAACCTGCAAGTTCATCTCTGTTTCCCCAGCAACTGGAAGCAGTTTGAGCACTGATACTTTTTATCCCTCTACCTAGCCCCCCCCCCATTTTATGGTTGGTGATTTAATGATGTATTTGCTTTCTAGTGTGTTTTTCTCCCGTTTCACATTTAGAGATCTGTTTTTTCATTTTTCTCTTTTGCAGATAAAGACTATTTCCTGATTGTGATTCAGAATCCAACCGAATAAGCCGCTCTCTTGGTTCCTTGTGTCATTCCGTAATTTAATGCCCCTCAAGAATGATAGCGTTAATCATGTCAACTGACTGGCACGTGGAAGTCACCTTAGAGCCCTCTCAGACCAATCCAGTGGCCAAGGGTGGGCTGCAGCTCCACCCATCCCACCAAAGTGTCCCCTGCCGGCCAGTGGCCCCTGAGTTTCCGGGAGGGCCCTCTTTCCTCGCATCCAGGTCATGGAATAAGAGCTTGTGAAAAGCCCACCCCCTGTTTCCTTCTGACTTTGAGTTCATTTTGTTGCCCTTGGAAAAGGCTGTTTTTCTTTAACTAAAAATAACCCAAACGCTTACCCTGCTGTGTGTCTTTAAACGCTGGGTTGAAAAGGCCTCGCTTCCTGTGCAATCACGAGGTCTGAAGGCTCAGCCGGCGCCGCCTCCAGCCCGTGGTGGCTCGTGCTCCTTGCTGCACCTGTGGCCACGCTTCCTGAGCTGAACCCTGTTTATAACTGGTGTCCTGGTTTCTGGGCCTCTTTTACTGTCTAGCCACCCCTTTTACTGTCTCCTGCTCCCACCAATGTTTTGAAAGATTTTTTTCCTACTCTACTGCACTGGGAAAAGGAAAGGAGTGATGTTTGTTGAGCACCAGGTGTGGCTCATCTCGCCCTCCTAGGACCCTGAAGACGTTGAAGCCTCCTTATGGGTGAGGAGGTTGGGTTCTTGAGAATGACTTGCCTGACGTCTCACAGTTGGAAGCGCAGGTCTGACTCCAAAAGCTGCTTTTTCCACACTGCCCTCCCCAGAAATCCCAGCTGGTCTGGTTCAGCTGAGTGGGCTTTTCCTGGGTAAGCGTCCTCCTTCCCTTAGACTCGTGTGATGGGGTGGGGGGGCTGCGGGCTGCTTGTCATCCAGCAGGTCTCTGGGATTTTTCCCCAAAAAAAACCACATATATTTTTTTATTCGGTTTTCCTTATGTCTTTTGTTTCTTGTTACAAAGGGAAAAGATTTTAAGCTATAGTGCAGACCTGGAAATCCTCCTTCATTGTCCTCCCGACTCCCTCAGCAGTCACCTCTGTTTACAGTGTGAGTTCTTCCACCCAACAAAAATACTTTTCTAAATTTTCCGGCGAAGTTTCCTTAACAGTATCGGGGGAGTAAAACATACAATGTACCCTTAGTCTAGAGGTGTAGTTGGTAAGGGCTTGGCAAAATTTCTTCAAAGTCTGTTTCAGTGAAAGATCAAAGGAGTTTTATCTGTGTTTGTCTTAATATAGGAAAAAATCCTTTCAAAATGATTTCCCCCAAATCTTCAAGTAAAGCTGATCTCTGGGAAATCACTGCATGTCTGCCCTGTCCCTGTGGACCAGGAAGCACTTCCTGAGGAGAGGGTGACTGCAGGCCTGGAGCAAAATGACCCTGGGTCAGAAATTATCTGTGAGATTCAGAGTCTAAAATGGGGTTTGGCCACCATTATCTTCTGTTTGTTCTCAGAGGATGTTGGAAGCTGGGATCCAAGTCTAAGTTTCCTCTGTCCTTCTGTCTTGTGTTTCTCCAGGAAGAATGAGGGAAGGTCTGATTAACATAAACTACACGGAGGAGGGGGGAGGGAGAGGAGGAGGAGGACTGGCTCCAGAGCCAGGGTTTGGAAAGGGTTTGGGGACCTGGCCCCCCTCACTTTGCTGAGTTTCTCTCCTACACCCTCTTGTTTGCCTTAAATTTCTCCATCATAAAGCTTCCCTGAAGGTCCTGAGGGAAGTTTGGGCTCAGCCTGGCTTTGGGGAAAACCAGAAGACTCAGGAACGTAATCCACCTCCCAGTGCCCTGGGCAATGGGGTTTCGCCTGGGAAGCTCACCTTGGATTCATTGCAGTTTGTGACACAGCATGGACTCATTCTAAGATGTAAACATCCAGGGTTTAAAAAAGTCTAAATAATGGTATAACATCTGCAAATACCCTAGTGTTTCTGTATCTAAAGAAGCAAGTGTACGGGAATACAATAACCACTAAGGTTAGAAGCCAGCACTGTCCTGGGCGTGGCTTCTGGGTTTCAGAAGTGTATTTGCCAAAATAACAGGGTGTTGCCACTCCCAGCATTATGAAAATTCTCAATTGTACAGAGAAGTTGAAATAATTATATATCCTCCATTTAATTCTATAATTGCTACAGTTAACATTTTGCTGTATTTACCACATAACTATCCATTCCTCCATTCGGCCGTCAATTTTTGGATGCATTTCAAAGTACCGTTTGCAGACGGTACACGCTCCTAAACACTTCAATGTGTGTATCATTAACTAATTTACCCTTTTTGGAGGATGGTTAAGGTTTATATATGGTGAAATGCACCCATCCTGCGGGTACCACTTAAGTAACAAATGCTCACACCTGTCAACCCCCTTTGACGATCACTTCACTCCAGAAAGTGCTCTCCTGCTGCTTCTCAGCCCGTCTCTGCCTCTGATTCCATTCCGGTGTGGTCTCCACCCTCCAGGGTATATCTCTTGGCCGGGTCCCTGAGCAGGGCCTGCAGTTCAGGGGGTGGTCACCCCCACTCACCACTTATGCCTCCCCCACAGCGCCTGCCACTCTTCCTCGGAACTCTGATACTCCTCTGTGCCTGGTGCTGCCTTTTCTCCAAAAATGTGTTCTAAAAACACTCCAGGCATTACAGGTTTTCTCCCCTTTTGTATATTTGAGTCTCAAACCAACTGCACTTTTGTACATTTTTTTCACTGAGGAATCCTAAACCATCTTTCCACGCCAAATTCAGGTTCTGGTGAATTATCAGAAAAAGGAAAAATGAGAAAGGGAGATCTCATAAATTCGATCACTGCAATCATTGCAGCAGGTAGAAATCTCCAGTTGCCAAGCACATTGAAATAGCAGATGCAAACCAATGTCAGTGAACTTAAGCTAATCAACCATATTCAATCAAGAAAGAAAATAACACAGCATTCAAAGTGGTAGTCCTACTAGCACGTGGTAAACAAGCTCCATTGGATCAAAAGGCTGCTTTATTGGGGTCTCCCCCTGTCTTTAACTTTATTCTCCGGGGTTCGCTCCTCCCCTGCCCCTTAACTTTATTCTCCGGGGTTCACTCTTCTCCTGCCCCTGGATGGAATGTAGGGCAAGTCTCCGGCTTCTCCATCGGTAGATGATGTGTCCAGTCTAGTGTAACGAGACTTTGGAACTGCATTTGGAGACAGAGGCTGCCCCTTCCCCAGCGAGGGCCCGCTGCCAGCTTTGCCCCGTGTGGAGGAGTGCTTGGCCGTGGCTTTGTTCCATGCCTTGTGCTGCCCCCACGGTGTTAAGAGGGAAGTGAGATGAGGGGAGGAAAGTTCATACGTGATCAGTACTGTGAACTGGCTTCTTGCTCTCTGAGCCTGGTGTGTGTTCAAAGCTGACACCTGTGCTTCCGGTGCATTTTACATGGGTTTTCTAAGGCCTGCCCCTGTCCCCACATTCCTGTTACCATCCGTCGTGCGTCTCACCTGCCATTCCCTTACTTTGGATGAGGCATTCTCTCTGGCTGGCCTATTGCAGGGTTTCTTTGGCCCCTGGTTCTCCAGGTCCCTCTACGCACTCCCCCTCTGTTGACTCAAGGTGAAGGGAGTAACCCCAGCGCTCCCTCCATGGATGGTAAGACATAAGCACATCAGCATCTTCTAAGAGTTGTCCTCTAACTTCTAGCTCTTTCATAGACTAAAGAGCAGGCGGACTGAACTCACTTTGGGCCCCTTGTCCTGCAGGCCTGCATTGGTCCTGCTCCTCTCCTGGCACATGGCAACTGTTGCCTCAGCAGAAATGGAGACGAAATAATTGAACTTGAAAATCCTAGTTCACAAGAAATATGTTGCTAAGGCTTGCCTCCAGGCGAGGTGGAATAGGGCATTTCATGATTTTTCATTCTCTGGGCTTAAGCACTGTTTCGACATGCAGTGCTGTTGTTTGACTTTCAGGTATTAGGCTTTCGTATTTATTTAGGAAAAACATCATAAGCAAAAGTAGCAGACGGCCTATAACTTGTTCTTATTTTGCAATCTTCCTTTACAAAACAATGCTTTATCCATTTATTCATTTAATTATTTAGTGAATGCCTGCTACGCACCAGGCCCCAGTCTAGACATAAATGAGATGGTGGCAAGAGCTTATTTCTAGTGGAGCTGAGACAGCCAACTGGAAAAAACAAAAACCAGACTACGCCTGGGCCCGACCCGAGACCAGTTAAAGCACAATCCCTGAGAGCAAGCTCTGGACAACCTAGGCTGGTAAAAGCTCCCCGGATTTTGTGACATGCAGCGAGGGCTGAGAGCCACTGGCATAGTCTTACGTGCCATGGGTAAGAGTACAGGAGGCTGTAACAAAAATATCATTCAGGGGTAAGAACGTTTGAAAGACAAAAAATATTAAGGGAATAAATGCAGCAGAAGAGTTCCAAGATAAAGTTGAGGAAGTCTCCCAAAGAGTGGGAAGAAAGAAAGTGGAAGAGAAAAGTTTAGAAAATGAAAGGATCAGTCCAGGATATTCAACATCTGATTAACAGGAGCTCTAGAAAGAAAATGAGGGGGTAGAAAATCATCAACAAGAGACTATAAGAACATTTTTTCCCCCTTTTTCAGTTTTATTAGGTAGAATTATTACAGTTTGCACATGTACATTATATTGCATGTAAATACATATATACAATATACTACACTTTT